CTCATTTATTAAAAAGTTAAGTATTCTGGCTAATGGAAAAGAAGTTTATAGCTGTAATTATGCAAATCACGTCACAAATATTAAAAACCTCCTTGATTATAATCCTACATACGCTAAAAGTGTTGGTACTAATGAACTCTACTATCCAGATACATCCCGCGCTGCAGAGGAAAGACCTGCCCAAGCAGCATACAACAAAGGTTTTCATTTAACAAAATTAAGACTAGGCCTTTCTCAAACAGTTAATTGTGAAATTCCTCTTAATAGGTACTCTTTCTTTGAAGTACTTGAATACAAACTGCTTCCTAACACTAAAATCGAAATAAATTTTGAATAGAAAGCGACGCAAATCTAATATTTCGAGCTGGCGGCGTTGATGGTAGAATTATTATAACAAGACTACAACTATTTATAACTCAGAAGGCTAATAGTATATAATAGTAGTTTAATAGTATAACTATTAAAGTAAAATGACAACTTATATTGAATACAAAGTAAAACTAACAGATGGACAAAAGTCAAAACTGGCTTCTGCAATCAGAAATAAAACACAACGAACTCTTCGATTAAAACATTCTCAACTACACGGTTCTGATGAACTGATGCTAACCCGCCGACAGTTATCTAAAATCAAAAAATCTCTGGCAAATGGAACAGGAACAGATATAAAAATAAGCAAAACACAAATTAGGCAATCAGTAAAACATGGTGAAACCTATTCACGAGTCTCGCGTCTCTTGGAGCGCGAGTGCTTCCTTATACAATACGAGGAGTTTCACGCGTCGCGCCTGCACTGGCTACTCGAGCCGCATCAGCACTTGGAGAGATTAACAAAGTTGTATGGAAAAAGGGTCTCAATTCCTCGTAAATTCATCCTAATGTTACCACCTTTTGCTCAAGAGTTTATGAAATCACAAAGAGACCAGATTAACAAAGTTTATAAAACAGGAGGACGACTGGTTATTAAACCAACTCGTAAACAAATAGAAGGAGGATTTCTTGGAACTCTTGCGTCTATTGGAATACCAATGGCTGTTAGTTTAGTAAGAAAGATGCTACGATCTGGTTTACAGGTTGACCGAACACCATCTAGAAATACAAAAAATGTTTATGTACCTCCAGTAACACAAGGTGAAGGCCACTACTACCCTTATCGCTCTCCACCCTTTAACGGAACATGGGAGAATCCACCGCCCTTGCTGGCAGTCCAAGGTAAAAAAAAAAGTCCAAAGGCAAGGGTCGGCCAGCTGGCGCCGGACTTTTACTAGGAAAAAAACAGCCCATTCAAAGGAATTCCCATATTAGGAAACATTTTGTGATTAAACCGTCGTCCAACTTTGACCTGATGAATTGGATTGCCAAACTTGGTATTGAACATTTCAGAGGGGTGTACAGTCGCGATGAACTACTGCGTAAGATCAGAAAAGAATGTGGAATAACCAATCTCGATGATATTCAAGGAGTCCGCACACACTGGGTTTGTTACAGAAATCTTGATTCGATTGTAGAGTACTTCGATCTATTTGGTCTTATCATGCCAAATGAAGCGAGGAAGTATTTTAACACTTCTGGAAAGCGCATATTTTATTCAATAGATGAAATACAAAATCGCAATACTGTTTTCTGCGGTTACTGGTGTTTGTATTATTTGTTAGAGCGACAGCAGGGTAGCGATATACTAGACGTGATACACAATCCACATTTCGATAGTGACAACAGCGATTTCATATTGAATTACTTTAGTTAATTTTATATCAAAACTGATATAAAATTATGTCTCATCATCGCTAATAGTTAAATATTTTACATTATTTTTCATCTCTTCAATACTAACTTTAATTTCTTCTAGCATTTTCATTAAACAAGTGTAAATTTCCGATATTTTTCTACATATGTCTTACTACTATCCTGTACATCCATTCTAATCTTTAATTAGATTACTCTCCACCACTAGTATCATCACCATTTTTTAACTCTTTAATCTTTGTAAGTTTGGTGTTTAAATCTTTAACATTCTTAACAAGAGTTCTAAACTCAGAATAGAGATCAATAAGTTTGGTTAATCTAGCCTTACGTTCATCTGGCCATGGTATTACTAACCAGTTAAAACCACCATCTCGTATTTTCTCCCATAAATCACACTCATTCGAGAGTAGTATTCGAGACAAATCTGAATTTTTGTTTCGTTCAAGTTCTAATTCGTCATTAATTTTAGTTCGTACTTCTGTCTCAAAATCTTTTAGTGTTTTGATACGCATAGATGTTTCAATCTCTTTGTAAACATGGCGAGCCGCAAGCCTTAGCGACCGAAATATGGGGGAAAATTTGTCCCCCATATGACCAGAAGGCCATTGTTTAAATTCAGCCAAGCATAGATCGTTGACAGCTTGAAACCATACTTGAGCAGAAATGCGAATCTCCTTTCGTGGCCTCCTGTGAAACTTTATCCGACATATCTTTCAACCGCTCATTTTAGCAGACAGTACTAAAAAGCTGATGAGACGAACACAACTAAAAAAAAGAACCTGATAGAATGAAAATCGCTCCAAAACAGAGCATCAATTGGAAAACTTGTGGCGGTGTAGAGGAGTTTTGCACAAATTGTCAAACGGGGTATACCGCAAAATCAATATGCATTTATTTAGCGAAGATGAACGAGGTGCTGCGATTTTAATTTAATAGAATTTACATTAACTATAAATTCAAATAGTTTTTAAAGTAGCTTTCTCTGGGGAGCAGAATTTAAATAGGAGACTTCACCGGCATTTTCTCAAAAAAGGCAATAGTGCCGTTTTAAATTCTGCTCCCCCGACATTTCTATTTCTAAATCTAAGTAGCTTTCTTTTTCTTTTAAAAAATTTTTACGGGGGAATCAAAATGAATCTTGTTTGATTGGTTACGTCCATTGCGGTTCCCCCCTATTTGTTTTTTAATAAAACACTTTTGCACGAACGATCTCTATTATTTTTCACGAGCCATGACCAACCAAGTTCCCTTGCACTAAGCGAAGACGACACACCCGATCGCTTGCTTTTTCAGGCGACTCACCCAATAGAGCACGTGCAGACGGAACTTTGGTCGTTGTTTAGTTTTTTTTTGAATCACCCAAAAAATAAGTTCAATTACGAATTCTAAGCGTTTAGTTGAAATACAATC